CTCTCACCGGGCACCGACACTTCTGCAAACCGGCTCCGGTAAAACCCAGCTCAGGAGGACGCAGTCTGCCTTCAGGGCTGGTGCTTCTGTTGTGCCCAGAGGTTTTTGGGGAGAGATCCCAGCCTGGGAACGCTGCGTGCTGCAGCCACGGGCCAGAGGAGCTGGTTTTTAGCTAAACTGGAAGGAGGACCCGTCCTGCCAAGGATCCTGTGAGTCAGCTGAGCTCATGGAGGCAGCGAGTGCTTCGTGTCTCCCAAAACCTGGGCGCTCCTGGGAATGCCTGTGGGTTTGTCCCAGGGAGGGGAGTTCGGGATGCCATATGGGGTGAGGGTTAACGTCCTCACCTGGCTGATTTTTGGGGGGTGTGCCTCAGGAGGCAACTCCCTTCCTCAGAGCATTACCTGAGGTGACACTGGGAACAGTCAGTGCGGAGGCAAAGGTCGCTGCCAAGGGGACCTGGCAGCGTTCCTGTGACCCGGGACAAGCGGGGTGGCTTGTCCCTGCTCCCATCCTGCTCCATGGTGCCTGGTGAGGGGGCTTCCCCCAGCCCAGGGCAGTGGTTCTCCTCAACAGCTGGGGAGCTGGCAGCGCTCCGGTGGCTTGGCCACTGCCCTGCGGGGTTTGTTTGGGGCCAGCTGACCTTTGCAGGCCCCTTCTACCCTCTGTGGCAAGATCCTGGCTCTGGGCAGAGCAGGCAGCCTCCGCAAGAGTCCTAGCAGCCAGGTCTGGTGGCGTCTGGGATAATGGGGGACAAGGGAGCCCCATTTTTTTCCCGCTGGGAGGAAGTGGGCAGCACCAGGGTGGGAGCTCAGCCTCCTCCCTTGCAGGCAGGATGAGCTCTGGCCCCCTGCAGCAGCCTGAGTTGTCTCCTTTTCCTTTCTCTTTTTAAATTTCCTTCCACGGTGAGGTCTGCAGGAGATCCCTCCCCCTGCCAAGCCCTGAAAGCCTCTCTGCAGCTCCCGCCGCATTCCCCGACTGATTTGGGTGCTTGTTTTGGCACTGAACCCCTGTTCCCCTCTGCTCCCCGAGGGCCATGCCACAATCTGCAGCTGCTTCATCCCGGCTGCTTCTCGGCGCGGCACTGGGGGACTTTTTCCTTCTCTTGCCTGTCCCAGGACCACTGTGGCTCTTGGTGTGGACATCCATGACCGGTTGTTTTGTGTGACCTGAAAGACGGCCTGACAGGACGCTGCCCTCCTCCCATGGGGGTCCCAGGGGGTTGAAACCAAGGATAAAGGGGGACCTGCCTGGGCATGGGGTCTGACAGAGCACCAGGCCTTTGAATTTCCTCTTAAAAGAAATGTCAGAGAAGTTTGGGGGCAAGGCGGGAGGGAAGGGGACATGGCAGGAGGCACTGAGGATGAGGAACCTGAGCAGCTGTTTCCTTCTGAGCCGCGCCGGGATCCTGATATTCCAGGGGTAAATCCTGGGGGGCTGTGGGAGAGAACCCGGCTGCTCGCCTCCGTCCCACCCGCAGCCGGCCAGGCACCGAGGGCAGATCCTCCCTGGACACACACGAATGCCTGGTGCTGTGTGCAAGCTGAACATTAATGTAATTACTATGTTTGTCCTTAATTGTCTTTTTTTTTTGTTTGTTTTTGTCCCCCCAGTCCGGGCAGTGACCTGGCAGCCTCGCAAAGATGCCTCTTCACGACACGAGAGCTGCGGCTCTCCTCGCTTGGGTAAAAATCTCCTCCTCCACCGTAGCTCCGTAGGTGGGACGTGCTGCCCAGGGAGGTCCCGGCTGCTGCTGGCACCAGCGGCTTCTCCTCGGGGACACGTTGCTGGTAAAGGGGAGGGATTGTTGTTGCGGCAGGTCCTGGGGCAGCCGAGTCCCTGCTCTTCGCAAGTAGGTGGGTGTTTGCTTCGCTCACCTGTTGAGTAACTAGAAATGCCAGATCAGCTCGGTCCAGCCTTGGAAACTGCCCGAGAGCTGGAGCTGAGCCTGGAGCAGGCAGCAGGCTTGGGAACGTGAGCAGCAACTGGACCATGAAGGGGCTGTTGGATCTGCCTTGTGAAGCGTCGCGGTGTGATAAATGTGACAAAACGAGACCCGTGCCGGCCAGTTGGGCTGTGGAGCCGTGGGGATTGCGTTCAGCTTTTGCCTGGGCAGGGCGGGGGTGGTCGGAAGGGCTGGTTGTGCTCTCACACCCAAACCAGTACCCCTGTTCCCTGCCAGGACTGGGAGGTGGCGTGGCATGGTGTCACCTTCTGCCTTCTTGACCCGTCTCGCCCCATTTCTAGGTGAACGGCGCAAAAGTTTGCGCTGATCCCCTCGACGACCTGTCGCAGCTCCGGGATTGCAGCGTCTTCATCAGGATCATCAACAAAATGTGAGTAGGGGGAGGTGGGGTGCGCTCTCCAAATTGCCCGGCTGGCTGGAAGCCTCCGTACGTAGATGATCTACTGAGGTTCCAGGTAGCTGGGGCAGGTCTGCTCCCCTGCCTGCTCCTCGCATGGCCCTGGGCAGAGCTGCCCAGGTAGGATTCTGACCAGAGTTTCTGTCGTTTGAGACTCTGGGCTCGCTCCTGGCACAGAAGCAAAGAGCTGAGTGTTGATCCTGGACCTGCCTGGGAGCTGCTTTATTTCCATAAAATGGTGAACATGAGCCAGCAGTGTGCTCAGGTGGCCAAGAAGGCCAACGGCATCCTGGCCTGTATCAGAAATGGTGTGACCAGCAGGAGGAGGGAGGTGATCATGCCCCTGTCCTCGGCACTCGTGAGACCTCACCTCGAGTACTGTGTCCAGTTTTGGTCACCACAGTACAAGAAGGACATCGAGGTGCTGGAGCGGGTGCAGAGAAGGGCAACAAGGCTGGTGAGAGTGCTGGAAAACAGGCCCTGTGAAGAGCGGCTGAGGGAACTGGGTTTGTTTAGTCTGGAGAAGAGGAGGCTGAGAGGAGACCTTATTGCCCTCTACAACTACCTAAAAGGAGGCTGGAGTGAGGCTGGTGCTGGTCTCTTCTCTCTAATTCCTAATGACAGGACAAGGGGAAATGGCCTCAAGTTGCGTCAGGGTAAGTTTAGATTGGATATTCGGAGGAAGTTCTTTCCTGAACGAGTGGTGAGGCACTGGAACAGGCTGCCCAGGGAGGTGGTGGAGTCACCAACCCTGGAGGTGTTTAAAAAAAAAGTAGATCTAGCACTTGAGGCTGTGGTGTAGTGGTTAGATATGCTGGGATGAAGGTTGGACTAGATGATCTTCAGAGGTCCCTTCCAACCCCTGACATTCTGTGATTCTGTGATTCTGTGAAGAAACAGCCCAGCAAATTTTCCTGAACGGCAGCCTTGGGATCTGGAGAAAGCCTTGGGTCTGTAAAGCAGCTTAAAGAGTGACAGTTCCCATTCTCTAGGGATCTGGAGCTGTTTTTGTGTACGATACAGGCAGGATGAAGCCCAGTTCCTCCATCCCAGGACCCAAGGTGGCCGGGCAGGAGTGGGAGAGTTTGTTGCCTGTGAGTGAAGGAGATGAAAACCTACGAGCTGTCACGGGCACCAGAGCTAGGACTGAGCACGTTCTGCTCCGGCTGCGTGTGGTTAATGAGCTGGTGAGGGAAATTGGGAGGGCGTGAGGCTGCTGCTGGGCTCCCAGCGCCGCGTTGCTTTCAAACCCTTCCGGCGGGAGGCTCTGCGGGAGCCTGCCTGCTATAATTACCTCCCGCACGCCGCGTAGTAACGAGAGCCTGCGAGGGCTCTGTGCCTGGGGTGGGTG